AATGCCTATGTTTGCCTAATATGCTTTTGTCTTCAAACCCGTCTGATTAGGAGGCCAACAAAAGTGAAAGTGATTAAAATCTTGTCAGTCGCAGGCAGCAGCTGTAGCTAGCTAATTAACATGTTAATAGTTAACTTGAGAAAATCAGTTTAGAAAGAGATTGCTTGTTTAAATAATCTCTCCACTGAGAGATTGGGGGGGGGAATGGGGGGGAGGAAACAAGTGTCTGGCACAGGACATCAGGTACTAACTGACAATGGTGAACACATGACTGAAAGAGAGAGACATATTTTATATTTATATCCCACCTTTATTTTTTTTACAAATAAGTCAAGGTGGTAAACCAGCGGTGAAATCACTTACCTTTGCTCCTGGTTCAGGAATGGGAGTGGGCGGGAGCACGCGGGCACCTCTTCTGCGCACATGCAGAGGGTAAAAAACAGGAGGTAATAAGGTCCCAGCGGGTGGGTGGAGCCTCCCGCCACTGACACTACCAGTTCACGTGAGCTGGATAGATCCGGATGGATTTCACCACTGTGGTAAACATATCCAACACACCTTCCTCCTCCTATTTTGGCCATAACAATAACCCCCTGAAGTGGGTTGGACTGAGTGACTGGTCTAAAGTCACCCAGCTGGCTTTCATGGCTAAGGTGGGACTTTAACTCATAGTCCCTGTGAAGGTCATACATTAGCACCTTGGTCACAAAGTTATTTTTTCCGCATTGTCGTAAATTTGAACATGATTATTATGAACAATCAATAAGTGAGATCTACCTGTAATTCTTGTTTGTCATATTGGGAAAATAATGCATAAGGGACAAAGGATAGTGAATATTGAACCCTGGGCAGTATTAAGCCAGATGAAAATCTGATGAAATGTGTAATAATTATTGTTTATTTGTATATAGAGATAAAGATGTAATTGAATTATCTTAATAATAGCTGGTTTCTTCTCAAGCACATAATAGTATAACTGTATATGGATGTTCTTTTTTATGCATCTTAAAACAACAATTTTATTTGTTTCATTCATATATATAAATATATCCCAAAAAAACAGACTTTAGTACATAAGTATCAATGCTAAAACTGCTGGTTTTCAAAAGTACCAGAGCTCTGCTGCTTTCTATGCAATAAATTTCAATCTTGCAGAAAACTGCATTGTCTTAGAACATACAGGGAGGAAGGCTGAAGATATTTATTTCATGCATTGGGCTACAAGAACCTGAGCTATCCACTGGTGAAGAATGTAAACCTACTATTTATTAACTGCAAGTTTCCCTTCCTTACAAGTGATCCTACTTTCCGTGAACCATAAGAACCTGCTATGTGAAGTAGAGATTATTCTCCTTTGCACAATTAATTTTAATCATTAAGTTAGTTAGGCAAAAAAAAAGCCACAATACTTACTTAGTGAACAAGAAAAATAAAAATGTAAAACTGTTGTTTCTTTTTAAATTAAAAATATAGGCTATGTAGAGCTACTAAAATTTGAAAGATATTCTAGAATCAAGCCGCCTTTTTTTAAAAAAAGCTTCTGATGGCACCTAGAAGAAAATAGGATGTTTTGCTTGACATCATGCAGGAAATGACGTATATAAAGTCACAAATTCTGGGAAAGCCATTAACTGTGAAATGTTTACCTCCAGATTTCCTTACTGGAACAGGCCTAGTGCACAATATGTTAAATCATTTCTAAACCTGTTTAAGCACAGAGTAAAGGAATATATAAAGGGGCTAGTAATGGCAAGAATGGAATGTGTTTGTTGCCATTTTTCCAGTTCCGTAAATGGCTAAAATTACTTGAGAGAGACTTAAGTAGGTGACACAAAATCCCAACACATCTCATTCTGCAAACCATTATGGACTAGTATTACCAGCAAATCATAAAATTAGCTTAATTAACATAAACTTACATTCATTACTGCTTTGATATGCCATACCTTTACTGTAGTAAAATTTGACATTCTGTCTTCCACAATGCTATTTAATACATTTCATAACCTAGCATGATTTATTTAATGCTTTATTGCTAATTTTATAGGATTGGAAAATCCTGCCAATTTACCTTATTCTTAAGAGAATTTCAAAGCAAGGATCTTGATTACAATTTATGTTATCTATTAATATTAAATATCCCAATCTATAGGGTTACCAAATATTGTATTGTTTTATCACTTACCATTCACTGAACAGCAAAATATTATCATAGTTCTGTTATAATGTATCATACTGCACTCCTACTTTAGTTACAAGCTAGTTTATCATTTATTATCTCAGTTTATATGACTATTCATACAAGACTCTTCAATCCAAAGACTCAGCAGTTAATCTTCCATTACAGTACTTAGGTTTCAAAAATGCAAAGACAAATCATAACACAAAGATAGTTGACAATAATAAAATTATCTTGTCTTACATTATATTTAAGTATGTTACAGTACAGGAGTCTATACTTTTCGAATTCTAATTTCTTCATCCTTCTGTCTATATCTGCTCAGAGCAGCACAAACTATATGCATTTTTTTGTTGATAGATTAAACAACTTTTGATTGGACTAGACCTCTTGGAGACTTCAGTCAGCATAACTAATAACATCTTGACTAGAAATTCAAAAAGTTATAGTTCAACAAGTTGAAAAAGTACATGATTAAAGTACAAATTATTATATCATAGTATCTCTAAATTCTTGAGAAGAACAAAGACTCCATAATGATAAAGCTGAAATAACTCCTATATAACTGTTTTTGAGATGTGAAAATTATTTAAATGATTGGCTTCTTATATAAGAACCAATTAATCAATGGATATCACTAAACTCAATTTCTTTAAGGAGGATGAATATAAGAAGGGACCTTGAATTGTTTAAAATATACCTTGAGAAGATTCATGGTAAAACAGAGTATAAACCTGAATAATTAAATACTTGCTCTCTAGCCGACTTTTATTTATTCAAATTAATGCATGTAAGTCAGTTATTAATGGCTCATTGATACAGGACATGTATTGAATGCAAAAAGTCCCTAATTCAATCTCAAGTAGCAATTAATGAGACAAACCTCTGCTTGAAACCCAAGTTACTATTACCAAGTCAGAAGAGATCATGCTGAGCTAAACAAATGAATTGTCTGACCTGTAAGACAGTTTTTTATATTTCATAATATTTTATATTGCATTGAAGCTACTTTGTAATACTTAGGTTGTTATTCCTGTGTCAAGCTGTGTGTGTGTGTGTGTGTGTGTGTATGTGTGTGTGTTTGTGTTTGTGTGTATGTCTATATATGTGTATGTGTATGTGTATGTATATGTATATGTATACAAATACCCGCAAAAACCTCAGAAAACATATATGAATATCATATATATGATTTTCTTTATGGAGAGAATAGAATTGACAGTGTTTCAAACCCCTGACTCATGCCAAAAATATTTGATGGAAAATGGTTTTTACAAGATTGATTAAGTAGAAATTACCAAGCAGCTTGTTAATTTAGGAAGAACCATGGGCACAATGAATTACTGAATTTTACTCCAACCTAATTTAGGCTGATTTGAATCATGAAGAATGAGTGGGATAAGTATGGATTCTAAGTCTCTTGACTGAAACATGTGTTGAGCTCTTCTCCCATTCAGCATGGCTTATCATAATACAGATAATGGAATGCAGTTTTCTTCAGTTCTAACTAAATTAAAGATTAGCATTGCCAAGAGGTGTACAAAACCTATTACGATAGTCTTTCAAGAAAAAGACTTAACCAGAGCCAACAATTTCAGACTATCCTTTAACTATTATGAAAAATGGTCCCTAATACTACAGGTATTTGTACATTTTAAGTAGCAATTCCTTGCGCTAATTCCAATAAAGCTACAGAAAACATAACCAGTACACAGACCTACTGTAAATGTGTACTTGAAAATTCAGTTTCACAGAAAACAAACCAAAGACACTCTAGTCAAAAATATAAACAGGCCATTATCTGTGGGCAATGTTAAAATATAAAATACTTATAGAAGGTTTGACTGTGACATCTAGAGGAGCTAAGAACAAGGGCTTAAGGTAAAAAAGTAAATTTAACTTTGGAAACCATGTTAAATCAGAAATAGCTGCACAATAAGGCTTCTTAATTTTTTAAGATTAGATCGGGATTATATATTTAAACATTCAGCATTTGGAAATTTATCTGGAAAAGAAAAAGTTTAGGAATATATGGGCCTTGTGAGCCACATACACCATAATTCAATTACTTCAAATAATTCCTCACAAGACTGTTTGCTGAGTCTGCTACTTTATCCTGTGTTTCAGTTCTATTTCCTGCCTTGATTAGTTACCCTGGGAAATGCAAAAAGTCACAACAGAAGGAATTTACAAAAGATGAAGCAACATATTCAGTGCACAGGATTCCCAAGATTAATCAAATATAAAACAAAAGATAGAAAGTAATAGTTGTAGTGTGTTTTGTGGAACCATAACTAGTTTTCTAGAAAACTGTTTAAAAATTCTGCCATTGTTTCTTCTAACGGAAGAAGGAAGAATTCTCCATATCCTTAAAAATAGGCCTCTTCATGCTATCCTAAAGATGCTTTGCAAGGCTACTTGTTTTGACTTTCTTTTTGAGTTTTTAATAGCTTCAAATATTGTAGCCTTGCCTTTTCAATTGCTGCATACTGTTTGAAAACAACAGTGATTATAAAGGCAACTGCATTGCAGTGGTGGGGAAAAAAATTAGAGGATGCAGAGTTTGTAAAATGTTCTGGGATTTGGGAAGAGAAAATTGCTGTTTACATACATAGAGAAGAGTATTAAAAACTGCCATTTCTTTTTGGCTTATAATTCTACTTTCTAAATACTTTAAAAAAGGGTAAAGACTGCAAAAGCATTCTTGACCTAAAAATAATACAGCAAAACCAAAAAATGATTATTAAAGACTTAAAGCATCTGAAACAAAATGGGACAAATCAGTTCTTATTCAGAAATACAAAATATAAAAATAAAATACCTGTAACCAGGGTCCATGTGCTGCATATGGATGCTCCTCTGTAGCAAAGGCCCCTTCAACTCCTGTAGATACAAAAGTGATTGCTGTATCTCCTGTAATACTTTTGTATGTAAAGTGCCGACCATGTAATAATCTGCCTCTGAAACAATAAACAAAAAAATGACTTTCAAATCAATACAATCTTCCCCATGTGGCGCTCTGTCATGTCATGTATTCCTCAATACATATAATATTTTAGGCCCATAATTTTAAAGTTCAAGATAAAAAAAAAACAAAATAGGGACAAGGGAAAGAAACAATTATAATTTGATTATAGTAATTAAGGCTCTAGTAAAAAAGGATTGGGTAAAAAAAGAAAATTCATCTAAGTTCCAATATACACAAACAAACTACAAACTCAACGACTTGTATCATAGAACAAACCACTTTCACAGTACAATGACTAATGAAAGAGAAGCAATTAAATGAAAGGAATTCTATATCTCACCTACATTTCTCTCTTCCAGACACATTCCATCTAAATCTAATATATGCTTTTTCATGAACCAAAACAAATATATTTGAATAGCAAATTAAGATAATATATGTGTGCTGGAAGATTTCCTAAGGTTACCAGGAAAATTCTCTAATTTAGAATTCAAGTAAAAATAAACAATAATCTAATTATGTAGCAAAACACAAGATTGCATTGTGGTATTATAACAATCAGTTCAGACACTTGAGACTTGACATATAAGAGTTAACCAAAGCCTTGAAATGCAGATAGTCTTCAGGTTACGATGGCAATTAGGACCAGACTACTGTCGCTAAGCAATGCGGTATGAAGTATGATGCAGTTACCATCAGTTACCAATGACAATCCAGACAGTCCCCCTTGCTGTCTTAACCCCAAATACACACTAGGAGGCCCCCACACAGGTCACACACAAGTTGGAGGAAAGGGGGACTGAGCTGCAAGTGCGGGGAGGCCACAGGAAGGAGGGTGTGGGTTGCATAAAACAAAGCGTCTTGGCCTTTCAAAGACTTTATACAGCCATTTCAAGGTCTTCCCTGTTGTTTGAATATGTATGCTTTCAGGGAAGATATCTGCACTGGAATTACTATTGTAGTAAAGCAATAAGTCTCTTGAAGGATCATGCCAAATCTTTGAGATGCAGCACTTTCAAGGGCATATTGCTCATTTCATGCAGTGCCCTCTGAATGGCACTCCTGAGCCCCAATAGGCATATAATATTACATGGTTAAATACTTTGTAATATTCAGTTTATCTTTTTAAAATCTGGCTGAAGAGACCTCGGTAATGTAGAGATAACAGAATGGTCCTTACAGCCCCTCATATAAAAACTAACATTCTACTCACCTTAAACAAAGTGGAATTAATGCTCCTGATTCCTGGTTGAATTTTAGGTGCACACTCTCAAGCTGTCTTGTGCGAATCAGTTCATGAGGAATGATTGCTGCTGAGCTGTCACTTTCTAAACTGTCCTTACGACTCCTAAATCAAAGAAGGTATAAGATTTTATCCCACCTTTTAAATACATTTTTGGTCAACTCAAGGTGGAGAATACACCTAATATTCTTGCCCCCTATTTTCACCACCACCACCACCATCTTATGAGGTATATTAAGTAGAGAGAGAGTGACACGCCCAAAGTCAATCACCTTTCATGTCTAAAGGAGGCCTAGAATTCAGTGTCTCCTGCTTTCTAGTCCAGAGCCTTAACCACTATAACAAACTGGCACTGTAAATCCTTAAGCAGAGAATTACTGGAGCAATGTTTAGGTTTTAAAACTTAATGCATTTTACAAAGTATATGATATATGTAGCCTCTACATCAGATCTGTGTGTAACAAATCTAGTTTCATCTATGACCTGATTGTGAGTGAGATTGCAGACATGGTACACATCTCTAAATCCCTGTTGTAGAGTCCCCTTTGCTGAGGTTTCGCCAACTAGTTTTATTTTTTATATATATAATAATGTTATTATTAATTATTATCTGTGACTTCAGTTCTGCCATGGGTGGATTGGATCCTTGCACTACCTTGCTGGGGAAAGCAGCAAGAGAGTATTGAGAGCTGGGCCTGGTGTATACTTAATGTTGTTGTTAGTTGTGAAGTCGTATCCGACCCATCGCGACCCCATGGACAACTTTCCTCTAGGTTTTCCTGTCCTCTACCATCCCCTGGAGACCATTTAAGCTCACGCTGACTGCTTCAGTGACTCCATCCAGCCACCTCATTCTCTCATGCCTCATGCCTTCCCCTTCTTCTTTTGCCCTCAAACGTTCCCAGCATTAGGTTCTTCTCCACTGAGTCCTTCCTTCTCATTAAGTGACCAAAGTATTTCAGTTCATCTTCAGGATCTGGCCTTCTAAAGAGCAGTCAGGGTTGATCTCCTCTAGGACTGACTGGTTTGATCGCCTTGCAGTCCAAGGGACTCGCAGGAGTCTTCTCCAGCACCATAGTTCAAAGGCCTCAATTCTTTGACACTCAGCCTTCCTTATGGTCCAACTTTCACAACCATATATTGCAATTGGGAAAACCATAGCCTTGACTATACACTCTTTTGTTGGAAGGGTGATGTCTCTGCTTTTTAGTATGCTGTCTAACTTTGCCACACAGTAGCTTTCCTTTGTATACTTAATACTTCACAGGAAAGTTGCACTTTTGATATCTCTGAAACTTGTGCTAAGTAAATTTTTAAAAACTGTCTAATCCATTCTAACCAATGGAAGTAACAATTCATTTAAGTCAGATTTAGTTGGGATTTCTATATATTATTAGTAAAAAGGAGTCTGGACTTGAATTTTTTTAATGGTTAATGTTATCCAGAATAGAATAGAATAGAATAGAATAGAATAGAATAGAATAGAATAGAATAGAAGTTGGAAGGGACCTTGGAGGTCTTCTAGTCCACCCCCTGTTTCGGCAGGAAACCCTATACCATTTCAGACAAATGGTCATCCAATCTTTTCTTAAAAATTTCCAGTCTTGAAGCATTTACAACTTCTGGAGGCAAGTTGTTCCACTGATTAATTGTTCTAACTGTCAGGAAATTTCTCCTTAGTTTTAGATTGCTTCTCTCCTTGATTAGTTTCCATCCATTGTTTCTTGTCCTGCCCTCAGGTGCTTTGGACAATAGCTTGATTCCCTCTTCTTTGTGGCAGCCCCTGAGATACTTAAACACTGCTATAATGTCACCCCTAATCCTTCTTTTCATCAAACTAGACATACCCAATTCCAGCAATCATTCTTTATACTGTATGTTTTAGCCTCCAGTCCCCTAATCATCTAAATATGGTTAAGTGGTTATGGTTTTTTGATCATGGTAAATTATCTTGCTCAGAACTGGTCTCTGCCAGACCAACAAAATCCACATGTTGCGTAGAAATAAGGTTATGAACAAAAGCTTGGTATGTCTAAATCTACAGAATATCTTTAGCACTGAGAGTACACAAGTACGGTATAAAAATTTGTTTGTAATTTCAGGAGCCAGTATTGAATCATTATGTTTTGTCACATATTTCATCAAGATATATTGCTATATATTGGGATTCTGAAATTCTGCCGAACAAACTATTGGCTTAAGTGGGGATGTTTGTATTAGCAAACGAAGTAATTCTAGCTTTAAAAATAAATGAATCTATTATTAGTCCTTTCGTTTCCAATTCAGTGTTTTGCTTGCACTTTACTCTGAATGTTATTCTGCCTAATTTCTTCACTTGACCACATTCTATTGAATTTTACCTCTTGACCAGATAACGGTCCTGGGACAAGTGTCCCTAAAATCCATGTTTCATTAAAACCTGTTAGATCCAGCAGCTGAAATCAGGAGATTTCTTTTTATAGGGGTTTTTCCATTTTCCATTTTCTTTGTATCTGAAATGAAGGCCTTCTCTTTGCCTTGCCAGCTCTTAAGAATGAAGGGTATTGGCAGGGCCACCCACATATAAGATTTTCAATAACCTACACTAAGCTGAATAAAGAATCAAGTATTCATTCTTTCAGCTTGAATGAATGCCATGCATGGTCCTGGGGAAGAAGACAACCTAGATGAGGGGGTGATGGAATTTCTAACACTTTAGGGAAAATCAGGGGGAGCCAAAGAAGTTATTACTGCAGCTTTTTTCCTCTACAAATGTAGCTTTGAAAGCAGGAGCTTAATACAGGTTTTATATCTGGTATCTTCAGTTTTATTTCTACTTATTTGTGTTATTTTCCTTTTTTATGGTCATCATCTCTTACTTTCATTTACTCTTACACACATAAAGTACTCTTAATCAGATCTATTTAACATAAAAAAAATTCCAGTTGTCATTAACTAATATATTTAAAAAACTGCCACATAAAATTCTCCACTCAACCAACACAAATAATTCATGGATTCTCAGCTTATATCAAGAAAGAAATGAATAACAACTGACAAGAGCCATGACTTCTGTATTAGGAAAGAGAGAGTGCATTTAAATGAGAGCAATATGCCGGAAATGCCCCAGCATGAGACTGCATATCTAACGTTTTATGGAATTGGAAGGGAATCTGAGATTAAAGCTCATTCTGAGTGATTGAAGGATTGTGGGAGGTGTAAGTGTGGGCAGTTGTCAGATTAATTCTTTAGATGATTAAATTCTTTTGTAGTCAATGTTTGAAGTCTCTTCATTTTAAATGAGTGTAATGCAGCAGTTACCAAGGTGACTTTTGCTGACTTTCAACTATTTCTTCTTCATTTTCTGTTCTTACTAAGAGCCTGAATTGGTTTCTACATCTTGTGAATTAAGATGAACAACAACACTGTTAGCCGTACTGCTGTTAGCTGCTGCTGTATTAAACTTCAGATCTGGATTTGGGTAGCAGCAGCACAGCTAATAATCTGCTGGAAAACCACATCTCTACTGTTGCTAAGAAAGCAACAGAAGCAGTGGTGGGATTCAGCCAGTTCGCACCACTTCGGGAGAACCAGTTGTTAACTTTCTAAGTAGTTTGGTGAATTGGTTGTTGGAAGAAATCATTAGGGCAGAGAACCGGTTGTTAAATTATTTGAATCCTACCACTGAACAGAAGTCATAGTCACATAAACAAATTTGCAATCATCTTTGACCCTCCTGCAATATTAGAGACAGATGATATAAACCATGTTATTTGAAGGCAGTTAATATAAATTCTCCAGGAAAAAAAACCAATTGCTTGCTATACAGTTTAATTATCCTACACTTTTTCTGGGATTCTAAGAATCTGAGAGACCAAAGTTTCAATAATTGCTTATAGTCCAAGTAAAGGAGAAACTAAGATTTGCTATGACAGGCATTGATTAACAGATTAAAGCTTGCTAATAAAATAACAAACTAGGGTAGTTATTCTTAAATGCTGACTATTTTTATGAAATCTATTGTCTGGGGTATTTGATTCAGAGACAGAGAAGTGAACTTGTGCAGAAATACAATGTTCCACTGCCTATCTGTTACTTAAATTAAAAGTTCTAAAAAGTACATTAAAGTTACTTAACGCAAGAGTCTGTATGACTTACTGTGCTATATTTTAACAGACAATTAATATTTTTCTTAAGAAAACTCTGATACCAAAGTTCAATACTGATTGGGTAATGCTGAAAAAATGATATATTTGCAATGCTGCACTTGCATTTAAATACTTCCTTTGTTATATACACTTTAACTAGGCAATGTGGACAAAAAATAATATAATTTGTTTACTTTTATAACAGAGGACCAATAACTAAAGTTAGAGATATGAAATTACAGAAGAGGTATAAAATGCTAAAGTTATACTACAGCGTACCTTCCATTCTAAAATAGCTTTTTACTATATAAGGTTCCAGCCAGTTTTTCTTCCGAGGAGAACAATCTATGCCTATTAGCCCAGACATCATATTCTACGCACCACTGGTTCACTATACTATATATGTAACTTCTGAGAGCACATAGTCCCTACAGGGCTAATATGGCAGGGAGGGGGGAGAGGAAAGAAAAGATTGTCTAGATATTTTCTAGTTCTATCAACCTGGAAGTTCTTCTAAAGGTGCCAATTCTTCCTCTTTTTTTGTAAGATTTGGCTGCAAACCTTGGACACTCATAATCAGTATTACAAAAAGTAATGTGCAGAATCTAATGTAATGCTAATAAGTCAAACAGCCAACTCAGGATACAGACAAAAAAACCTCTATTTGTTAACAGTGTGTACTTCAGAGTTTACTTGAAAACAACTATCCTTTGCTTACTTGTGAACAATAATATGCTATTATTCATATTCTAAAGAAGGCAGAGGAACATTTGAAACTGAGAAATCAAAATAAAATTTAAATTCTGATTTTTTTCTTTACACACACACAGAAACGTTTATATCTAATGTACACAAAAGGCCAAGTAACATGACCCAAATGCAGTTACTTCTTATGTATCCCATATTGCTAGTAATTTGTAAATTAATTACATATATGATCTACCTCAGCTACTGATATAAATAAATATGCTGCTATCTGGTGTATAGTTGTTTTTTTTTTTTTAATTTTGCTAGTCTGATGTTTAATAACTTGAACATTCTCAATTAACACTATACGGTAACTTGGTCAACACATTTATGTTAGAATGTGAGATAGCTTAGCCTTTCATTCAATTTCTCTTTCTTAACTTTTGGCCTTTAGATTCTGAGCTCTTAGAGTTTGACTCTCATATTGATGTTCTAATGACTGTCCTGTGGCTTGCCAATATTCACATAAAAGAGTCTTGGTGGCACAGCAGACTAAAGTGCTGTTAAGTAGCACCAGCTGCCTGCAATTACTGCAAGTTCAAATCTCACCAGGCTCAAGGTTGACTCAACCTTCCATCCTTTCGAGGTAGGTAAAATGAGGACCCGGATTGTGGGGCCAATAAGCTGACTTTGTATAAAAAAGAACACCGCTTGGGGTGGGGGTGGGGGCGAAAGCCCTACTAAGCAGGTATATACAAAAGTATGAAGGCTATTGCTTAACGCATTGTAAGCCGCCCTGAGTCTCCGGAGAAGGGCGGCATATAAATCGAAATAATAAATAAATAAACTAATAAATAACTATGGTATAAAGGACAAGCATTTTCTCTTATAAAGATATGCTTCAAATATCTGAAATATTATAACACAGAAAAGATAGTAGACATTGTCCCAGAAGTCAAGTTCAGAAACAGTATACTAACTAAAAGCTATAAGTAAGCAGGTTCAGGCTAAATGCAAGGAGGAACATCCTGAATTTACAAGTTGCCAGCCAAAAGAATAGGCTGCTACACGAAGTCATGAGTCCCCTTTCATTGGTGAACTTGAAAAAGAGGCTGGATCATTGGTTAGAGATATTTTATTTATTTATTTATAAAATGTATTGGCTGCCCATTTTACAACAAAAAATATCTGTCTGTTGGTCTGTCTGTTTGTCTATATATACATACATACAGTACATACATACATACGTTAAAACCATATTCTAAGATTCTGCACTGAGAAGAGATTAAATTACTTCTAAGATCATTTCTGCTTTATGCTACTTTAATTTAATGATGTTTACCAGTGCTCAAGCAGAGATTAGCATTCTCAAACCTGAATATTTTTTTCAGAATCTGAAATGTTCTTTATTTAGCCAAGTTTTCCACTGACTCTTTTCAATTGCCCTAATTATAAACAATTTGTTATTTGCTTTCCTTTGATTATTTTAAGCCATTTTTACTATTTTGTTTCATATTTTTATATACTGTATATCAAATACCACTTCGGTAGTTTCTAAAATTAAGTTTCTAAATTAAAGCAGAATAAAATATTGCAAATACATAAATAAAATATATTTGAAGTATAGTACCAACATTATATTAATTATTATTATAATTATATAATATAATTATAATATAAATATTATATTAAAAACTATATACCAAAGTAGCCTTTCCTCCCATTATTATCATAAGAAAAATGAGAAAAACCCATTTTTTCTCACTTCAAGATTCATGTATAAGACTAAACTTACGGTGCTCTGTCACTGTTCAATCCATTCTGCCTCTGAGTATTAATTGGTGGCAAAATTGGCTTGCTGTTAATCTCTAGTCCCCTTCGTAGAGTTTCTCGAATTTGTTCTGTGTCTGAAAATTCAGAAATTTAAAAATAGAGTTAAATGTAGATGAGGTGAGTAGATTGTAATACTAAAACAAAGACCATATACTTTCTTTTTCATCTATATATCAAAACCCATAGTTTCTTGCAGCAAACTGGTAACTATGATCCGTTTAATATAAACAACACTAAAAAAACGTAAGTGTTGAGTAATATTTCAAATTACGATTTTTGGAAAACATTAGTCACAAAGCACTGAATGAAGCATAATGGAATATAATAGCAATGTTGGTCCTCTGGCTTCACCCCTTTCCCTATCATTGGGGAAATGTTATATAAAGTTAACACAAAGTCACAGGTATTAGTACACAAATTTTTCAGTACTAAAACCTATGTTTGTAAAATGTAACACCCTTTAACTAGTTTCTAAATAGTTTAGAATCAGAATTGTCTTTCTGCAAATAAAAGACTTCTTCAATTACAGAAAAAAAATTCAGGAGACGGTGCAATGAGAGGAAAGGGAAGAAAATCTATGTGAATTTGCCCTGCATCAGTAACTCCCATGTTGTTTTCAAGAGTTACCTCACTTTTTGATTGACAGTATGCATTATCCTGAAGAGGATCTTACTTCATTTGTTATCAGCTAGTACTTATAGGCTTCCTCATGTTTAGTTCTATGACATTCTATCTGCATAGGCACATTGAAGTCATGGCAATAGAAAAACCCAGAGTTGATAAGGTGACTTTGTGATCCCTGGCCTGCCTCATAAATTGCTAAAGAAAACTAGTTGCTACGCCTCTTCCCAGATGCTTGCCCCTCCTCTCAGCAAAAGGGTTCAAAATGCAATAGGCCAGGAAACCAGAGTTTTTCTCCTTCACCTGGAGGGAAGCAACTGTCTGTCAGCAAAAAGCTCCATTTTGGCTGCTAAGGAAAGGGTATATAGCAGTGATGGCTAAATCTTTTTTCCTTCAGGTGCCAAAAGTGTGCGCGCGCACGTGCCCACACCCATAATACAATGCCCCTCCTGCATGCCCCGCCCCTCTGCACATGCATGTGACCCCCCACATGCACACGCGACCCCTGCATGTGCGCACGATACCCCCCCCCTTTTTGGCCTCACATCCCAAAACAGCACTGGGGGGGAAAGTCTTTACCTCCCAAAAAGGCTGGAGGGGGGGGGGGGGGGTGGGGAAGCTTCCAAAATGGCTGGGAGGGGGGAAAAAAGCCTTTGCCTCCCAAAACGGCTGGGGGGGAGGGGGAAAAAGCCTTTGCCTCCTAAAACAGCTGGGGGGGAGGGGGAAAAAGCCTTTGCCTCCTAAAACAGCTGGGGGGGAAAGCTTCCAAAATGGCTGGGGGGGAGGGAAAAAAAGCCTTTGCCTCCTAAAACGGCTGGGAATGGGTCGGGGAAGCTTCCAAAACGGCTGGGGAGGAGTTAAAAAAGCCTTTGCCTCCCAAAACGGCTGGGGGGGGGGAGGGAAAAAAGTCTCACCTCCCAAAACATCGCTGGGAAGGGAATCTCCGGAGATCTGGAAAGGCATAGGCAGCAGAAAGTAAGGAGAAAGGTAGGTCTCCCCACGCATGCCACTTGCTGGGCAGACCCGAAAATCAGCAGGCCGGCGGGAAGCAATTGCGCATGCTTATTGGAGCTGAGCTGGTGATGGCTCGCCTGCCCGCAGAGTGGGCTCCGCGTGCCACCTGTGGCACGCGTGCCATAGGTTCGCCATCACGGGTATATAGGGAACCTCTGCATAAGTACTCAGTAAGAGTCAGGGGAAGAGATCATAGACATTCTTCAAAGTAAATTGGGAGATAGTGTGTTTCAAATGGAATATGGAAACTGATGTATTTCCTCAGTAAAAAGTAAAATTATGTATATTTCCATGAGATTGTATATGTTTTGTGTGTGGGTGTGTGGGTGGGTGGGTGGGTGGAGACTTGTCTGTGAACACATTTGTACAACCTTGCATCAGGGAAAAGACTCATTTTCACAGTACTGATGAAGTTTCTTGAAGACCTAACTTGGACCTTAATATATTCTTGAGCTGGAAATGGTTGCCTAACTATAATACAGTTTATTTAAATATTTTTTAAAATTCCTCTTATGCACAGGGTCTGAGTATATTTGGAAAGTGCCTGCATTCTATTTTCACTTAGATTGGGAAGTAAATATTTTAATTTTTAGAAATTGACATCAAAAATTTGCTACGTTTCTTGGTATAGTAGCTATATTACTATGTAAGAGGCCCAGGAACATATAAAAATATAAAGATAGGTAAGTAGGTAGGTAGGTAGGTAGGTAGGTAGATCTCCTTACAATCCTGTGAGGTGGGTTGGGCCAAAGATGACTGACTATCCAAAGTCATCCAGCTGTCTTTAATGGGTGAGGTGGGACTTGAACTCACAGACCCTTGCTTTTTAGCCTTAACTATTAGGCCAAATAAACCTGAAGGCTGATGGGATCAAAGTTTAGCTTACCTTTTCCAGACAATCGTCGAGGATGTGTACCAATGCAGATACTTCTGCTGTCTTCATCGTCCTCTGGTGGCCGGCTAAGGTCATCCCAGGCACATTTTGCACTGACACCGCTTAGATTTGAGCCATCTGTTTCAATCCCTTTATCAACTCGGTCCTGCTTAAAAGGATCCCAAACAAGCACACATTTGAGAACATAGTTCTGTCATTACAGGATCTATTACATATATTTTATTAATGCTAATTGTCTGAGAAATTAAGAGCTGCAGTACTCATTTTTCACTGCTCTAAAGACACAAAAGTCAGCTGCAAATCAATGCCGATGAATACAATGGGCTAAAAACTCAGAACATACTGTAGCTCCGCCCGGTATAATGTCACACTGCTTCATGGGACTTTTTTTCCAGCCCTATCTGGAGGCATTGAACTTCTGTAATTGTGCATGATAATGCCTGTGCTCTATCACCAAGCAATGGCAGAACGTCTGAGTTGCCAGTTATCATTTGGTGTCCTGAGACATAGCATATATTCAAAACTACATTTCACGAAAGTGTAGCGTTGAATCAAAAATAAGGTTTAATGAATTCCAACCATTAATTCTCCCACCATGCTTCACTTCCAAAATCAATATCAGAAAAGAGATATTCCTGCATCTCACTACCAAGTTCAACAGATGAAGAAAACGATTTATTTTCAGTTCTAACATTCACCACCAGATGATGCTGTTAAACTAAATCTTGGCTTTTAAAATAAGAAGGGGTAAACTGCAGCAATTTGAAACAGAAGAAAAAAACATGAAAACAGAAAGAAAAAAAGTGATTCAATTTTCTTTTTCACATGAAAACAAAAACACGTACAACCTGGTCTGCTTGAGAATATCACTGAAGAAACTGTTAGAAACTACATATCCATGAACTATAGTTATAATGTTTGGTAATACTGAAGGAAGACTTCACACTGAAATGGCAGTTTTACATTTAATATTCCAATACTGTCAACGGTTGCAAATATCACTTTCAGCATGCTAGTCTATTTCCAACCCAGAAGTGAAGGGTTACATATAGCTTTTCAAGGCTTTTGAAATCATTATAGTTATCATAAATCATATTGGTTTCTACAAAACAAAGCAATGAACAGATGTCTTTCCTTCATAATTCAATCCTTCAATTTCCCCCAAGCACACAAGGTATCAGGGAATCTGCACATGAATGGGCCTTTTTGTTGTTTTTGTTTTAATTGTTTTTACTGCATGCCATCCAGAGTCATTTTGGAGTTGTGCAGTTTTACAAATGTCCGGGAAGCGAGGGAGGGAGGGAGGGAGGGAGGGAAGGAAGGAAGGAAGGAAGGAAGGAAGGAAGGAAGGAAGGAAGGAAGGAAGGAAGGAAATAATGTATGTGACCCAGTTCAGTAGCAACAGTGAAACTAATCTGAATTGAGCCATTTATTGACCATGCTTCCAAGAATTGGGAGCATGAAGACTCACAAGTCAAAAATTGATAGCAAAGTAACAAAATAATTGACTATTTTTTCTGAGAACATTCCAATACAAGGAGAGAATTGTTTTGGGTTAAAAATGCAACTGTGTCCACTCGTGAAATATCAATAAACTAAAAAATTAAAATGCATACTTGCAGATGTGGATCTATTTCGAATATTGTTTCCCCACGTCGCATATCTGTGATTAACCATGGACCTCCTGCTCTATAGATGTACAAAAAAAAAAAAAAAAAGAAAAGAATAATTAACTGCAACTATCCCCAGAATTTTAGGGTGTCTTGTGCATCTTTACTAACTATATCTCAGACCACAAAATGCCTTCTCAGATTCTCTTTGCAGGCTATCAAATTTGTACGAATGTACATAATTCTTTAGGTATCACAATCCTAAGGGAATACGATATCTAAAATATCTTCACACTGAAGATATTTATTTTCCCCATGTTACATAAAGTAACCAATAGAAGACAGTATTTTGTAGCTCAGGGTTGAAGTTTGGGGTCCCTGGTACTCTCTGAGTTTGGATGTTTTCTTGCAAACATTTAATTACTGAACTAGGTAAGTTCATCAGTGCAAGAAGGGAGTGTGGACCAATTTCATTTTATATATTAGAAGTTTGTTCTGTCTTGTGGTCTTGGTGAGAATGATATTGGTGATTCATTGATTAGGCTGTTGCTTACTGTTAGCTTGTTTGTCTGACTTGGTTAATTTCCTGACTGAGGTATTTATTTCTTGATTGTTGGTCTAGTGTTAATCTTGGTGTTAATCTCTGCTCATCTGGGTGTTGATTGCTGATGAGGAGGTGTTTTGGTCTTTTTTTTCCTTTTTGGCTTTTTGATTGTCTCTTTTGAATGGTACATAGATGTTATTTCTCTCTAAGGGGCTGTTGGTGGCTGATTTGTTTGAGTGCCATGCTTCCAGGAATTTTCTAGTGTTTTTGGACTTGGCTTGGTCTAGGATGGCCTGTTTTCCAGCTAAAACTATGATTAAGTCTGTCCATGTGTTGTGAAATAAAGGAGTTTTCATCCGATCTTCTGACTGCTAGTTGGTGTTCATGGATGCGCTCTGCTAGTCTTCTGCCTGTTTGTTGTACGTAGTGGTTCTTATAGTCCTTACACTGTATATTATAGATCAGGAGTCATAAACCTTCTGGACCTCAGAGACCACTAAATTCATAATTTTAAATGCCGCGGGCCACTAATATGATTGCCTAATGACTGGGTGGGCGTGGCCAGGTGGTCATGTGACTGGGTGGGCGTGGCCAAGTTGATGTCACTCACATCGAGGAGTGCCTCACTGGCCTCTATTCACTCCTCCCCTCCCAGCCACTCCAGAGTAAAATAGCTGGCTCAGTTCAAATTGGATCTGACCAAGAAGGAGGCTCAGCAGAAGCACCTCACTAGGACTACAAGCATAGGCTTTCCAAGCAGAGGGAAGACCTGCAGGAGTGCAAGGCCAGGTACCGGTGCCTGGAGGCTCAGCGGGCTGAGATGGTCAGCCAGTTCCAGGCCATGATGCAGTCCCACTGGAACAAGGCTCTCTGGCTCTTCACCACCAGCGGCATTTCCCTCCAGCCTTTGCCCAAAGCCCCACACCAGGAGGCTGAAGCAGACCCCGTCAGAATTTCTGCCCCCCTCCGACCCACACAAAAAGACCCTGAAGGGGGAAGACTCTCTGCAGCAACACAAACATTCATTTCACATATCCGGCCCAGGGGCTGTAATTTGAGGACCCTTGATTTAGTGCAACATAAAAAATGCAAATAATTTTTCTGCGGACCACCAAAATTTTCTCACAGACACCCCGTGGTCCATGGACCACCAGTTGGTGACCCCTTTTATAGATGACTCCTGCTTTTACTTCTGGGCCTGCTGGGTCTTTTGGTTTACTTAGGATGCTTTGGAGGACTTTAGTTGGTTTATGTACTATGGCGATGCCATAACTAACCAAATAAATTGCAATTTCAAGTTGTACTGTGCAATTAAAGCGGGGGGGAAAGAACCTCACTATTTAAGTATACAGGTTTTTAAAAAGATTATTTCAAGTGTGGCATTTGGAAGTGGCTGAATTTATCTTAATCAGACATTATCTTTTAACTGCTGATATGACTTTCAAATCAGGTGGAAATGCTCTACTTACACAGGAACAGTCCGAAGCAATTCTAATATACCCTGCCCATTCCACTGCTGTGCTGCATGAAGCTCTTCTGTACATACTCCAACAATCTAGAACAATAAAATAATAACAGGATCTTTTTATACATTACAAGAAAATATATTGGAAAACCTAACATGATGTAGCACAAATTTAAACGATAGAGAAAAAGGGGGGGAAAGTCCTGTGCACTGGAGGAAGGGACCTAAAATCTGGGCAAAACTCTAGTGAATGCCTTTTGGCTAAGATCAGTTGTAGCCTTTCAGAACCACTGGCGTTCACTAGCCTCCCCCACCCTAACAGATGGCTCAGAGATGGCTCTGGAGAAGAAGGGAAAATGTTAGTGAAACTTGAGTGTTTTGAGCCTTTCCCTCCCCTCGGAAAGCTCAGAGAGGCTCCAGAGGGGAGGAAAAGAGAAACATTCTCCCCACCCCTGGAAGACTCAGAATGCTGGCATCTGCTAGCATTTTCATCAGATTTGAAGTCTATCTCTCCAGCATGCCAAGGGAAATCCAGTGTTTCCATGATCATTTCCCCTGACGGAATGGGGAGAAGGCCTGGGCTTCCCAGGTGTGGTGGGAGGCCTGGGCCGTCTCTCTGCCCTACTATATCTGGGGTTCCCTGGGTTTCTGCTTAATAACCACATTGGGGGAGCTGGAGGTTGCAGTTGTTGAATGAAGTGGTCGCATGGCATTTCGCTTAACAACTGCTTTGCTCAACAAGAAAGATTCCAGGCCCAATTGACATTGTAAGGACTATATATTAGATGTATAAAAGAAAGAAATTGAAGTCTGATGAAAATGAACTAAAGTGACCTAAAAGTCTACCACAGTTATTATGGGAAGTACTTGGTACTTTAGCCTTGACCAAAATTACTTACATGGTTTTTAATGGGAAATGGTATATAATGTCTTTTTAATATCTAAAAATAGAAAATGACTGATAATTGTTTATATAGAAAAATAAAATATTATTTCTTATAGACAATTATAAGAATACTGGCTGCTAGAGAACACATACCTGGAGAAATGTTACGATTCCAAATGGTGTCTGAACTGGCTGCATTTGTGGATCTTCAGTCAGGAGCATATGTTGGATTCTAGACTCACTGTTGTCCAATGGACTATGCCAGGATACATGGTCACCACTACAGAATGTATTTTCTGTTGAGGAAAAGGAAGGCAAACTTCTTAAAAACCTGGAATAATCAATAAATGGCCAAAACAAGCATCACATCACCATAAAAAGATTACAACAGAAGCACTACCCATTTATTTTCTTATGTATAATAATGGAGATTTTTTTAAAAAAGTGAAATGACTTACATCTACAGTTAGTCGTCGATTTACGACCACAATTGAGTCCAAAATTTGTGTTGCTAAGTGAAACATTTGCTATGTGAGTTTTACCCCATTGTATGACCTTTCTTGTCACAACTGTTAAGTGAATTGCTGCAGTTGTTAAATTAATAACATGGTTGTTAAGTGAATCTGCCTTCCCCATTGACTTTGCTTGTCAGAAGGTTGCAAAAGGGGATCACATGACTGCAGGGCATTCATAAATATGAACCAGTTGCCAAGCACCTGAATTTTGACCATGTGACCATGGGGATGCTGCAACCGCCGTGTGAAAAATGGCCATAAGTCACACACCCATCTGGGCACCACTGATTAGAAGGCAAAAAAAGTTACCACTCTTGATTTTTTTTTAACAAGTCTTCTATGAAGTGACTACTCTCTTTAAAATTCATTCTACTTAGCAAGCTGGTGCAGAAGGACAGTTTATCTCTGATCATCCTGCTCATTCATCTGGATTGGATTCCATGAAGTTTTCTACATAAAATGTTGGTCCTGCCAACCCATGCCAGGAACTCTAAGTTCCAGTAAACAGGAAAATGCAGTGAAAAATTATTTTTATTTTGCAACTTTATGTGTCACTTTTCATTAAAAAGAGTCAATGTGGCTTACGAAGTTATAACAAAAACAGTAAGGCACGAGGCTAGAAACCGGGACACCAGGAGTTCAAACTCTGCCTTAGCCATGAAAGCCATGGGTGACCTTGAGCCAGTCACTCTCTGTCAGACCAACTCACCTCACAGGGTTGTTGTGCAAAAATAGAAGATGGAAGAAGTATTAGGTACGTTTGCAGCCTTGAGTTATTTATAAAAATAATAAAGGCAGCAAATAATAAACAAATCAATCAATCAATCAATCAATGCAACCTTGATAAATAAATTGTTCAGACCCTGGCAGAAACATCCCAATGTAGGGACCCAAATATTTTGTCAAAAATTTACGTCTACTTTATTTGTTTCTAGAAACTAATCAGGATTAAAATGCTTAACATATTGCAGTAAAGTTAAAATCCATATATTATAATCATTCATAGTTGGCTGCTAGCTTACAGTGCTGTCTTAATGGCGGTATCAAAAGCTCAGATTTTAATATGCCATTATTTTCTGTTAAGTTTTATCCATTTGCACAAAAGAATGAATGCAAATAAGTTTTAATACCATATGCATTTCCAACCACCTCCCTCTATTATCCTAATTAATCCACAAGGAATCTTTGGATCCATAGAGAATCTGATCATGGAAAATCCTGCTTAGATGAAACATGTCCCATTAATCCCTTGACTACAGGAAAACAAAATTCTACTGATCAACAACTATGAGGGTTAAGGCATTTATTAGAGCTAGGTTACGGGGGCTGGAAGTAGCATAACTTTTAGTCTCCAAATCCACTTTAGAAATATCTTGCAGGAAGATCAGGAAAGAAAATTATTTTCATTGGAAACCATCACAGCCTTCGAGGGAAACCTGATTTTTTGACCACCATGAAGCTACAGCAATTGGGCCAGAGGATTAGGTGCAGGAAAATAAAGTGTAACCTAAGGAAGAAATATTTCACATTTCAACAGACATGTATGGAAAATCAATTGATACATTCAGATTTCAAAAGCATATAAAGACCTATAAAGAAAAGGAACATGTAGCTGCTCAACAATATTCAAAGCCATCTTACGAGTCCTTAGGATTCCAAATTTCAATGTCTTCCAAGTCATACAAAACACCAGCTAGGACTCTGATTAACTAAATGCTTTAATTATGTAAACCTCAGTCACTATTTTCCATAATGAAAGGAGTTACAAAGCGACTTATTCCCGAGGCTTCTGTTTTTGTCACAATATTCTCTTGATTCTGTATTTTACTGCCTAGATTTCTTCCTTCAGGAAATCAACCATTTCCAACTGGTTTTCAAATGCTAATACAAATCTCTGCTGGAAGTCCAGCTATTTGTGTCTATTTGGATGAAGACTATTTAATAAATGTCTTTCTTCTACAGATATACCATTCATACTAACTGCTCAATTAAACTACAATTAAACTAACCAACTACCGTATTTTCTGGACTATAGGATGCACTCCCTCCACCCCAAAAGTGGGTAGAAATGTCTGTGCATCTTATAGAGTGAATATTGTGGCGGGGGGAGGGGGGTTGGTGTGGTGCCGATCAGCTGTTCTAGGTGGTGGGGATTGCCACCGCCTATTGCCGCTGCCCGTTCACCACCGATCAATACGATCGGCGGCGAACAGGCCAAGGTGGTGAAGGGGCCGCGGTGGCGAATGGACCTCAGCAGTCCCCGCCGCCTAGAAGAGCTGATCAGTGGTATTCTGGGAGGCCGATTCAACCGCCAATCAGCTGCTCGGCAGCGAAGACTCCAGTGTTGCCTTGTGGCGGCAGCAGCTCAGCTCAGTTGTCCGGTGGTGGGCGCAACTGAGCAGAACCCTGACAAGCCACGTGCTGGTGCTGCGATAACATGCTGAAGCTGACCAGGCTGTTTGCTGTTTGCTGCAAAGACGCTAGCCAGATGAATGCTGCATGGATACTGAGAGGTAGAGGCAGATTTTTTTTTCTTGTTTTCCTCCTTTAAAGCTAATGTGCGTCTTATAGTTTGGAGGGTCTTATAGTCTGGAAAATACGGTATATGAAAAATTATATGGATTCAATTTCAAAACCTCAAAGTGAGCAAATCCAATATCAAAGCTTAAGAAAGCGGACCTTGCTATCGTATAATAACAGCAAGACCTGTCTTTCTATAGAGGTTTCCCACAATACTTGGATCAAATCATTATCAAGACAAATTATTGCTATGCAATTTGAAGTTTTTGGGAAAAAACACTAAACAGACATTTTTATCACTGAAATAATTACTAATTCCTTTAATTTTCTGTGGAATTGTATCATCTTCCAATATTATCATTCAACCCAAATTGTATCAAAATCCTAAATGTCCTAAATGAATGGAAAGTGAATAAGAAGATACAGGTAACAATAATTTTAAAAACTATAACCTCTTATATGAAAAATATGGATGGATGCTATCATTTTTACTTTAAATCAATTAGTGGATAAGAACTAAGAATCTTTATCATTAGCTCTGGTAAAAGGTAAAAGGTAAAAATCATTTTCATAAAAGGTGAAAGGTACATATCATTTTTCTGTTGCCACCCACATAACAATTACGACATCTATTAACACCTTGATTTGGACCACCAACATTTTTAATTTCTGAGATACCTAAATAAAAGTTTATTGAAATTCAATGAGCATCACTAAACGTTATGAGACAAAATAGTCTTTATAAATATTTATTATTAATAAAATTTGATATGCAAATTTTAAAGCCAGAACAGAACAAGGAATTGTAGATCCCAATTTGTTAAAATATTGGAAACTGATAGATGAGGGAAAAATTAAAATCAGACAATAGGGAGGAGCTGTTACAAAAATAAAACTGGAACTGATAGTGACAACTGAAATTAGCATGTTTTTGATGAAGCTGGTGAAGGTTTATAATCTTAGCGCACAACTTGATTCTCAGCTGTCACTGGATTTGCACATCATAGCTGAGGTGAGGTGTGCTTTAATTATAGTGGTGCCAGAAATAATCTGCAAACTGAAAAACTGGATTCTGAATTAGTCACAATATTCTGTGGTGACATAAGCTTTTATTCTGGAAGTTTTCCTTATGTCCTTATGACTTCCAATAAATGTTTACAAAAACCACTTACATATTAGAATGTTACCTATCTTTTAATGCATTATATGAGAACATGTTTACTATAAGTAACAGAACCAAAAATATGGCATTCTAAAACACGGGTGTCAAACTCGCCATGTCACGTTGCTGTCATGTGACATTTCAGGTGTTTTTCTCATTCGTGGAGCTAGGGTGGGTATGGCCTGCGCATGACCCATTCAGCCTGTGGGCCACCAGTTTGACACCCCCGTTCTAGAACAATTTTAAAATGAAATTACAAATATTTTCACATACCCAATGATCAATTAAATTACTATACAATATTTTTGCAATAGTAGTTTAAATATTCTTGTATTAAAATCTACTTCCAACGAAGATGTCACAGATTCAAGTAATAATTGAAGTAATTTGAATGTGCTTCTGAAGAACTCCCAATACTTAAATGATCAAGATTACAATTCACTTGAATACATAATTAAAAAGATTAATTCAATAACCACTGAAAGGTAAATCTGAAACATGAACCTCTTGTTCAGAGGTCAAAGCAGTCATTATCCCATGAAATATTACTCAACATCTAGTTGGTACACAGGAACAAAACACTCCTGAGGCTTGAGAACACTAAATCACAGAAGGCTACTGCCATTGAGACTCAATGTAAAAACAGATAAAGCTTTTGAAGCAACAGCCAATTTAAATAGTACAAAATATCCAGGTTTTTTTATATGGATGCCATAAAAAGTTCAGTAAAAGATTGGAATTTCCTATTAGCTGACTATAGAGACTACAAAATAATAGATACCCAAATGGTTTATAAAGGAAAAATACAAAATAAAAATGTTTATCTATATATTTTTTTATTTCTAATAAAAATAAAGCAAAGGTGATATGATAAGAATGTTTTAGAAATATGAGTAAACATAATGAAATGGTTTGGACCATTAAATATTATTTCCATTTAGAAAATTTGTTAATGGAAAAGGGATTTCAATTACTAATGTTCTCACCTTGAGCTTGCTTCCCTTTTCTCTAATTCAAAGTAAAATCACAAAGACCATTCCCACCAAGATCATTGATATAAAATGACAGCAAACTCCACTCCCTACTAACACTGTTGATGTTACTTAGTTTGATAAGGAAACTTCTGCAAGAAAACAACCAAGCTTAGAGAGCACCAAGGACCCGGCAATGGATATATATTTTTACATTGGAAACCTGCAAGCAAAATGTATTGCAAGCAAAAAGTGCTGAATATTCTATAAATTAACATTTAAGATAAAAGAAAGTATCAGAAACAAGCTAGAGAAAGATTTAAACTTTTGGCTGTCAAATAATATTGAATGAGATTGCTTAGCAAATGAGGCTTCAGTAAAAGAAAGATATCTTCAGATGAAAAATAATTAATTTCCAACCAATAATTAAGAAGAGAGGTGGGAACTGACTTATTTATTGGCTGTTGGGATTGAAGTTGGTGAAATGGCTCAAACTGTCAACCCAGAGAAAACCAATTTGTAAATAAAAAATAGTCAACAGAGACATTCTAAGTTGAAAAACATGCAGCTACAAAACTACTAACTCAAAAAGACAAGACAAAAAAGTCCAGGATTTTAACTGGTCTGTAAAATAATCTGGATACCACTATTCAACTGAACATTGGTATTCAAAGTCCTTATTCCTAGATTATGAACAGTTTTCAGAGCCCTTACTAGTGCAAGTGATAGCCTCTAATTTGCTTTATCAAAATAAAAATATGAGTTTCATCTTTCAGACAAATTATGCAAAATTCAAATTAATGAAGTATCTATAAAAAGGAGCTAGAATCAGAGCTAATTATTGCAAAAAAAACCCAACAACAAACCATTAGTGTTTAAAGTAAACATTTAAATTATACCTGATTGGAAGACATATCTGGCTAAGCCTTGCATTAACTCTGCTGGCCAGGTGGGTGGTGCAGATTCCCCAGTTTCACGCTTAAGTCGAAATGTCAGCTCAAATCCAAAACCACTTGGTCCATCTGGTCCAGTAAATCTGAAGGAAATTAACCACAAAAGGTTTCATAAGAAAGGTTCAGGAATATAAGTTTAGAATTCTACTGTTTATTTATTCTACTTATTATACTACTACAGTAGTATTCCTCTGTATCAGTACAAATTCACAGTATTTACCTAAAATCAACAAAAATATTGATAGTTAAAATATGTGCAATACACATAAATAAAAACTGTTAGTAACTAATGAAAGTTAGAATGCAAACTAAATTATAATGACAGCAAAAATAAAACAAAGCTTAAATAAACAGTATCTGTCAGTTTAGAATGGCTCCCAAGTTTCAACGGCATCCCATCAAGAAAACTGCAATTATAAAAGTGTATGAGGTTAGAGGAATTTATGCAGAACATTTAATTTTTATCTACTTATAACTTTGATAATTCATTAGTTTCCATGCTGCTAGAAAATGGCTATTCATCCCATTAGAAGAGTCTTAGTTTCCCAAACTATGAATAGTTACTGCAGTAGACAAAATTGCAATGACTAGTAAATGTCTTCAGCAAAATGACTTTTCTCTATTCTACAAAGATACCAAGTTCATTTTATATCAAGTTTTTAAAAGTCATGAAATTAGTGTTTTGATCTGTAAAGGATGCATGTAGCTGTATCCATTTATTCTAGATGAAGATCAAATTAGCAAACAGATTCTCTGATTCTATGGATTTAAAAGAAAGGAAGGGCTATGGATTTGTAGCCTTTCTGGATCTTTTACCAGGAAGACAAGAGATAGCTCTTATGAATTTCTAAGCAACAGTAGTTAATCTTTATAGTGTACAATGACTGCAAATGCCACCCTTGTCCCTCTAGCTTAAATTCAAGTTTCCCCAAGTCATACATTTCTGAAAATTCGACAAATTCATGGAATTTGCCACTATAGCCAAATGGAATATTGAGAATAGGAGTAGAGAACATTATTTTTCTCAAGAATTGCATTGCCTTAGGAAAGGATTGTTAGAGGTTGAATTGCAGTGTTCATCCCTATTATGCAGAAGTATAGGTACAGTAGTCTGTTCTGACTTAAATACAAATCTAGGTTAAAGACAGGCTTGGGGAACAAAACTTGTTCTTAATTCAGGGACTGCCTGTAGAAAGAAAGCACAATTGTCTTTAACTATGCCAAAGTCGCTATGTTGGGGGAAGAGGGGGGGGATGATGAGTTCAGTACTAGCAAGCAGAAGAAGTCACATATAGCTGTCAAACCTCCCAGATACAATTAAGGACTTGATAAAAGCAGAAGTGGAATTCCTAATTATCAGTCCCCCAGCACTGCTGTGTTCACAGTATCTTGGGATAGCAAAAGATGCAAAGAGAATAGAATTCAAAGGAAGGAAATCAGGAAGAAACAGAGGGCCAATGTATAATACTGAAAAAAGATAAATGAGAATCTGCCTATCTTTACTGTTTTTTAATAATTTTAATAATTAGCTCTTTCCTCTCTCAGTGTGTTATATTGGAAAATTGTTTTACGCTAGAAAGGAGATTATTCTCCAAAGAAGCAGATGCAGATATGCTGCAGACTGGCTTTGCCCTGAGCTAAATTTAGTCACATTACTCTTATTAAAAACAGTCCTTTTAAGTTCAACTACTGTGCTATAAATATAAAGCAAGTATCTCTCCATGCTTTTAGAACCAACAACAAAAAAGTGTTTTTAATAATATCGGCGTATTTTAGATCCAGGAATTGTGTATGAGTTTAAGTAGTTCATGTCAGCCTCTTTGTAGGTGGGCTGTTTCTCAAATTAGCTACCTCAAACAATTGACTTTTAAAGCCAAGCATACTCCATCAGACTTAAGCAAAACAAAAAACGAAGGTGGTCATGGCTTCCAGGGCGGTCTACCACCAACAAAGAACAGGAAATGTGCTGAAATGCCTTGGTGGGGTGCATAAAAGATTCAGGTTTTGTAAGATATGTGGCCAAGGGTTTAAGATATACAAAACTACCCCAAAACAAATGGGTATGAATTGAAAACATTTACATTTCACTTTCTTTCTCCTTGAAACAGAACTGCAGCAACTACGTATAGAGAAAATGAAATAAAAAGTTGTGGATAATATATTCTAAATTGCAAAACAAAGGGTAAAATAGGCACTGCCAGCTAAAATGATGATTATATTACACTCTATATTTAAAGCTTCAAGCCTGCTCCTGATACAGTCAACCGAATATTTTACTTTTAACAAGACTAATTATAGATAGATAGATAGATAGATAGATAGATAGATAGATAGATAGATAGGAAAGAATATATATGTATATGAATATACTGACTATTACAAAATTTAAAGCAGAAGCCAAATTGACAAATTGATATTATGACAAATTGGTCATAATGTTCTTTTTTCTCAAATACTTTTGAACACATCACTAGGAATTCTTTCACCTAACAAGGTTAATAATCATCAGCTTTAAAACATATTATCACAGATAATTCCTGGAGTTACAACAGTATTCCTGGAGTTACAACAGTTTGTTTAGTGACCGTTCAAAAGTTACACAGCAAAAAGATGGTAAAATTTACCGCAACTCACTTAACGACTGAATCATTGTGCTACTGAAGTTCCTGTCCCAATTGTGATTGTAAGTTAAGAGCTATCTATACAACATCAATAACAATCACATGCACACAGCTACATGAAGATGGCGCCGTGGTTAGAGTGCAGCACTGCAGACTACTTCAGCTGACTGCTAGCTGCGGTTCAGCAGTTCAAATCTCACCGGCTCAAGGTTGACTCATCCTTCCATCCTTCCAAGGTGGATAAAATGAGGATCCAGATTGTTGGAGGCAATATGCTGACTCTGTAAACCGCTTAGAGAGGGCTGTAAAAGCACTGTGAAGCAGTATATAAGTCTAAGTGCTATTGCTATAATTCCAGCAAGATAGTTCTGTCTGGGATGCATCACTTGCAACAAAAGCAGAATCTGTAACACTTTAGATTAACTGCTTTATGGCTATTGGTGTCTGAGAGATACATCTTACTTAGTGTAATGTGCCACTGCATTGCAATAATGATTTATGGCTTAAGTTTACCCATGAAGCAAATCATTTTGTTCATGCCACAAATCACTGTTAAAATAAATTATGACTTAATAACCTGAATCATATCAAAAGTCATTTTATGTAGTGTCATCTACATGTTAGTATGTTATCCATGAATAGGCAGTAATAGTGACAGAATATAAAATACAGATTTGTATTTTATAATATAAAATACAGATACATAAATGCAGCAATTCTATTTAAACATTAGAAATTATAAGTAAATGCTGTCTTGCTATCAATACTTTTTCTAATCTAACACTTAGATGAAGTATTACTACCGCTTTATAAAGCCCTAATAGAACCACATCTGGAATATTGCAACCAATTTTGGTTAACGTACTACAAAAAAGATGTTGAGACTTTGGAAAAAGCTCAGAGAAGAGCAACTAAGATGATCAAAGGCCTGGAGACTAAAACATATGAAGAATGGCTGCAGGATTTGGGTTTGGCTAGTTTAAAGAAAAGAAGAATGAGGGGTGATATGATAGCAGTATTCCAGTCCTTGAGGGGCTGCCACAAAAAAGAGGGGGTCAAATTATTCTCCAAAGCACAAGAGGACAGAACAAGAAACAATGGTTGGAAACAAACCAAAGAGAGAAGCAAACTGGAATCAAGGAAATTAGGAAACTTCCTAATAGGAAGGACAATTAACCAGTGGAACAGCTTGCCTCCAGAAATCGTGGGTGCTCCATCACTGAATGTTTTTAACAAGAGTCTAGACAGTCACTTATCTGAAATAGTATAGGTTCTCCTTCTTGAGCAAGGGGCTGGGCTAGAAGACCTCCAAGGTTCCTTCCAGCTCATTCATTTTAATTCTAATTCTAACTTATAAACAAGAAAACATACAATCGCCAATTATAATTAAACTTCATGATGAATCCTAATTTCACACTAAAATTTCCTTCTAAAGTATTTCATAACAGTAATAAATAAGAGCCTTGGTGGCACAGCAGACTAAAGCACTGTTAAGTAGCACCAGCTGCCTGCAATTACTGCATGTTCAAATCCCACCAGGCTCAAGGTTGACTCAGCCTTCCATCCTTTCAAGGTAGGTAAAATGAGGACCCGGTTTGTGGGGGCAATAAGCTGACTTTGTATAAATATACAAAAGTATGAAGACTATTGCTTAACGCATTGTAAGCCGCCCTGAGTCTCCAGAAAAGGGTGGCATATAAATCAAACTAATAATAATAATAATAATAATAATAATAATAATAATAATAATAAAAAATTACAGCAATTGTTCATACTCTAAAAATAATACTTTAAGCCCAGAATAAAACAACCCCTTTGAATTATATTGCACAGAACTATTTTTAAAACCTGCGTTTGTACTCTATACAAGTGCTTCCCAACCTTCTGATTTCATATATTTTTGAGGAATATTCTATTTATTATTTTTAAAAATACTGCTTCCTGTACAATTGCATATCAACTCAAAGCATCTTATAGTGCAATTATTAAAACAATGCATACAAAATAAAATATATTCATTAAAGTGTGATGAAAAGGAAAATAAATAAATCAGAAACCATCTAACATTCATGCAGGGAAAGCCTGGACAAAGAGATTTATCTCCAACAACAATTGAAAAGATATAGTAACAGGATGGATGTTTAAATCAGTTTATGCCCAAATCATTTTACATATAAAACAGTTACTTTGGGGTGGTTCATATACAGACCAAGACATGCATGTTATGGATGCTTTATTCACATATCTTTGATACATAGTTGTTGTTGTTTTCAGATACAAACTAAAAGAATATTGTTCTGCATTACTCAGATTTTTGCAGCTCGAAAAAGCTTGTTATGAATTTCATTTTTTGCCATGGCTAAAACATCTGAAACTGTTAAAGAATTCATTTCTGCCAAAATATGGAAGTCAAAACATTTCAGATTTTCTTCTACTAAACTGGGGCCAGTCCAAAAGGGATCAACAGAATTTCTTGGATGCAATTTTTGAGATGAAAATAGGAACACATTTCATTTCATAAACTCCTCTACAATAGGGAGGGTGGGAATCCATTCCAATAAAAATACCACCCCAGAAAATTCATGCCCATGTATTACTGGAAAATAGCATTCAGCCATTTTTGGCCAACACACCAGGGGGCAATCATAGGGTAGGGCTTCATCCTTATCTGCAATAAAGATGCTAAACTAGCTAAGCTACCTATGTTTGACAGTTTTCAGCCAAAACAAGATAAGATATGAAGAATCAGGAGATCTATGGTCTTCTGCTGTGCTACATTGGAAAGCTCTGTTACAAAGTAAAGCATCTCAGTCAAATGGCCATCTAGGCTCTTCTTGAATACACCTAGTGATAGAGAACTCACCACTCTCTAGCTCTTTGAAGCCACATGGAACTACTCTTTCTGTCAGGAAGACTTTTCTAACATGTACCGTATTTTTTGGAGTATAAGACACACTGGAGCATAAGACGCACCTTAGTTTTTGGGGAGGAAAATAAGAAAAAAGCTGATTGGTGGGTGGATCGGCCTCCAGGAATACCCACAATCAGCTGTTCCCAGAAGTAAATTTTAGCAACAGGTTGGTTGGTTGTGAGCTCTGCGCCTTGCTTTTTTTTCTGCCTCTGAAACTTTTGAAACTCCTTTTCAGAAAAAAAAAAAATTCTGCCTCTGAAAGCCTCCGAAACAGAGCTTCAGAAATATAGCTTCTTTCAGAGGCTTTTTTTCTGAAGCTTCTTTCAGAGGCTTTTATTCTGAAGGACTATCTGTACTCTGTTCAATCTCCTTTCTTTGGTATTGGTATGTAGATTAACCTCTTCTGATCTGTTGGTTATTGTGTCATTCTCCAGATTTGTTAACATAGTTTGTTTAGAACCTTTACTGATTCTTCTTTTGTTGCTTGCCATATTATTTTAGATAAAAGCCTTTCAGAGGCTTTTTTCTGAAGCTTCTTTCAGAGGCTTCTTTAGATTTCCTCTAAAATCTCTGTTTGCGAGGCTGGGAGGGCTACGTTTGCGAGGCTGAGAGGGGCTACATTTGGAGTATAAGACCCACCCAGATTTTCATCCTCTTTCTGGGGGGGGGGGGGGAAGGAGGTTTGTTTTATACTCCCCAAAATACGGTAATTGGAATTTCATTTGTTGTCATTTTAATCCAGTACTCTGTTTCCTCCACTCTAGAATGAGACACTACAGATACTGGTCTTCTAAATGACACCCTTTTAGGTATTTGAAGAGCAGTATCATGATTTCCCTCAGTCAACCTTTCTCAGGGCTAAACAATCATACTCCACCAAGACAGGCACGAATTTAGTTGATGTTTTCTAGAAATTTAGTGTTACTAAAATAATCCATATTATAATTTAGCGGTGGCCGTTACAACAGTTGTCATTCTGTGAGCCAATAAGGCTAATTCCCCAATTGTGCTACAAAGAAATTATTTTAACGTGGTACCTCCAACTTGCAATCTTCCCATTGGTCCCAGTGGTTCAGCAATACTACAATTGCTGAAAAATTAAGCTGTACCAGCAGTTATATCCTCTCCATAGTAAATATTTTTGGCTATGAAATTGCCGGATGCCACATAATTTTCTTTCTCATTCGTACACTCACAAAACTTAGCTATTCTTGTTCAAAACTTCCCATTTTTTTCCAAGTAAAAACAGGAAAAAACTGATGATCTTCTGAGATTCCAGAAATTTAAAACTAACCATTTCTTAACTGAATGCACAGCTGAATACACAAAACTAGTCTTTATTTACTTGCATGTATGTTTTTTCTACTGCATTTCCAACAACTTCAGAAAAACAACAAATCATAATACATAGAAATTAAAGACTTACTCGTGCACTCTGTTATCACCATACAAGTCACTTAGTCCAAAGCTTACATAATGCCAGTGCTCAGGAACATTTTGATTTGGACTTCCCAAATTCCTGTACATACTGACATAGTCCAGAGGATCCGGTCCACCTAACCTATTTTAAAAAGAGAAAAAGAGAAATTAGATTGTTTTAGTCCAGTTTTGGGAAATAGTTTCAAGAAAGTGGATTTACCTTTACTCCACATTTTTACACCACTTCCTTCTGAAAACAGTTAATGCTTCTATTTGAAACTAAGTCAGAACTTTGCCTGATGTCATCATAACTACATAGCTGTTGTCATAAATCTTAAAAGTTCTATATTGCTTGGCTTTCATATTTTTTTTCTGTTCTAATACTGAACAAATTACAGGATTGCAAAGATGTTAGTGTATTGCAAGCAACAAATGAACATAATTAAAATGAATATTTTCATCTGACAGCATAATTTTTCATAAAAATTGTTAATAAAATATGTCTTTTTTTTTTCTCTGTAATATTATACCAAAAACACCCTACATTTATTCAAAAATATAATGTGCCTTTGTGGAATATTTATCTAACGATCATTCAGGCATGGGTTAGATTCACATATTATATCAGCCATGATTTATTTAGTTTGCTGATAAGTCAGAATTAGTTGGTTGCATGCACCATGCTAAGCCTAAGAAAAACAAATCAAATTAGAGCACAATTTAGAACACAATATAAGTGTGGACCTAGTTAATGGTTAAATTCAGTAAGACCTTTTTAGATTCAGAAATACATGCCATTTCTTATCTTTCTGCTATTAAGATAAATTTGTGATTTATTAAGATCATATTAATAAAACTAGCCAAGCAACTAGTTTTAATCGTTGCAAACCACTAAGATAAAGAGCCAATCTTTTAATTATTGCAAACCAAATAGAAAAAAAAAAACTCAAGTAGCATATTTTGTTTTTGTGAAACATATAATAGTAATCACCACCTTTATCAAAATTAGTGAGATATGCCATTTGTTACCCCAAACTGGTGAATAACTTTTCTTTTTCAAAATTAGAAATAAAGTGGATCTCAGTTTATTTCATAGATGTATGGCATGAAGTCCTAAGAGATGGATATTTTATACAAAAAAACTGCAAAAACAATTTCCATACTAGAGTTAATATAGCCTAGTTTTCAACCAGATGATGTCAGAAGAGAAATACAAGAAACAATGAGATAATCACAGGACAAACTCAGAGCCTAGTTTCCATTTTTGTACGGGAAAAAAACTAAGAGCAAAGTTGAAACAAACACTTTACAGAAAGCCCTAGCATTTTTTTCAGATAGAAAAGGTAAAATCAGAGATTAAGATTGAATAAAATCTCCATTTAGACATCTTAAAAATCACAATTGGAAGGCAGAGTTTAAACAGAAGTAAAAGAGAATGTCTCTCTTGGGACAGGCTAGATTTCATAGATATGGTCCTGCAATTTATTTATTTTTTTGTAAAGTCAAAAGTAATTCATAATCAGACTCCAGTGTGCTTAGCTTCTGAATGCTAGCTTCTACCAGTGAGGCTTGTAGAAGTGAAACATTTTTCAGTCATACCTAAATAAAGTTTTGAACAGTTGGACCACTAGATGTCAGTCTTACTATTTCTGCAGGTTTAGAAAGGTGTGCTTCCCAAACTACAGATACCACTACCAATTCTTCTTCTTGTGCCATATCCGTCATTGGACGTTGGCAATCATGTTGGCAATCCTATTTTTGTCAACAGCTGCATGAAAAAGTGCTGCTGAGTTTTGTCCAAAGCTTTGATGATTTCCCTTTGCTTTCCCAGGCGGTTTATCACCTCATTTGTGATTTTGTTAACTCAGTTTATACATAACAGTCGTCTGTAAATCCACATTTCAAATGCTTCTGGTTTCTTCAAGTGGTTTTCTGTCAGAGACCAACTCTCTACTCCGTAGAGCAGGATAAAAAATATGTAACATCTAACAAGCCTGATTTTCAGTCTCAGGCTTATGTTGTGACTGCAGACGACCTTTTTCATTTTGAAGAATGCTGTTTGAACTTTCTCTATTCTTGTGTTTACTTCACTGATCATGTCCCAGCTTTCATGTAAATTAAAACAGAAGTACGTGATCCTTTCAACTTTTTCTAGTGGTATTCCTTCCAAATTTATCAGTGGTAAATTAATGGGTTGTTCGCTGACGACCATGATCTTGCTTTTTGAGGTGTTAAGCTTAAAGCCATATTTTTCAAATATTTCTGAGACTCTGTTGATGAAGAGCTGAAGGTCTTCATGCTTACTGGCAAGCAGAATCACTACCAATAGAGAAACTAATTTAGGTTATTTTACATAAGCCAAAGGAAAGCAAAATACCATTCTCAATAGAAGAAGAGAGTGATTTTAAATAGGCTTATGCCTGAGAAACAGATACAGTACTTTTTGGAGTGTAAGACGCACTTTTTCCACCCTAAAAGAGGGTGGAAATGTTGGTGCATCTTATACACCGAACACAGCCATTTTTGGCCTCCTGAAGCCCCACCCCACGTGTCCCATTTTTGCAAAAAACGGGCCCATTTTTCACAAAAACAGGGCATGCAGAGGCTTTGGGAGGCCTGCAGAGTGCTCCAGTGGACTGGGGAGGGCAAAAACGCCCCCATTTTTGCAAAAAACGGGTGAAAAACGGGGCACGCAGAGGCTTTGAGAGGCCTGCAGAGTGCTCCTGGGGGCCAGGGAGAGCAAAAACCTTTTTTTTCTTGCTTACCTCTTCAAAATCTTGGTGCGTCTTATAGTCCGAAAAATACGGTATTTTCCAACTCTTACCATAAAAAAGTTGCTTGCATTATATAGTTTCCATATCATTTTGTAGGAATCAAAATACATCACTTTGTGCCAATTTCCACAAAACTAATCATACCACTGCATTCAATTTTATAATCAATATGAGTATACATTCTTATTTACAAAGAAATATAAGTCATATTTTCTTTATTCCAATTCGGTTTCTTCCTTTTCTTCTCTTCCTTTCATTCTCAAACCAGCTATATTGAGACATCAATGCCTACTATAAACTGCAGAGCCAACAAACCTTACTTTTGCTCATATTTATTATTGCAGGCAATGAAATCTTCCAAAATGAAATGAAGTCATGCATACTTGTATTCTAAGAATATTTTTCAGAGTAGACAAATAAGATCTTAACCTTATGCTGTTAATCTTAGCATTCTGCTAAGCCCTGAAAACATTGCTTTTTAAACAGGCTTTTAATTTGAACTGATAAGGACGAGGTAAATATTTTTAAGTGAAATGATGCAGGTTCAAAGTGTTTTTCATTTATGGATTGGTTATGTTTTTATTGTTGACTGACTGGTACAATATGAAATTTTGCATAAAGATAAATCTATATTTAAATGAAACTTAGACTAAATAATTTTCAGTTTCTGTTGATAGTAATTAAGAGTACATTACAAGAAACTAAACATTTGCTTAAAATGTTTTATAGAATCTTTTATACAATGTAAACTAATTTCAAACCAAAGCCCTTGGAGGAAACGGGAAATAAAGAAAATGATCAAAATTACCTAATTCTGGTTTTGGTTCCCATAAATTTATAAATAATAATAATAATAAAGAAGTGTTGCCATTGTGTAGTGCTCCATTAGCTCATCCTAGTTACTAAATGAAACAAACAAAATGTTAAAAAGTTATGATATGTATGTAGTTACTTACCAAGCACATCTAAATTATATTAAAATAACCAAAATATCTTTACAATCCCCAAGGCATGTGACAACTTTTGAGCACCCCTACTGTTTGGAAATTGAAGGTTGAAATTTTGAGAGATCAAAAGGATTCCGCATATTTTCAATGCTGGGACCAATGGTATACTTGGTTGAATAATAGAATAAAAAGAAGATAAGGTTAGTGTAGATTTTATATCTTATTTGTATATTTTGACTGAAGTTAATATATTGTGTAAAGCTCCCGTCGCGATCTGTATGTGAATAAATACTTTGCTTGTAAAGAAATAAATAAATAAAAAAAAAAAGAAAGCTGAAATATTTGACACGCCCTACAACCCAGCCAGATATGCTGTCCTTAAGATCTTGTTGATGCCTATTTGCAAACTAACAGTTTTTCAAATATAATAAATCTAGCTACTCAATACTTTCCCAAAGGCATCCTTTGAGTGAAACAAAGTCTAAAATTACAGGCTGTGGTTGATTCCAGATTCAAATTAAATAAATATCTAATTCACAGAGTTGTCAATCACTGGGAAGACTAATCAGATAAAGGAGCAACAGGCAGCTCCATCTGGGACAATCACAGCACTTTGGCTCTGTAAATCAACAGACACAGAGGAGTAAGCTGATACTACTAACTAATATAAAAATCTTAAATCTTTTTCAGTGATTAAGACAAGTAAAAAGCAGATTACCAGGTCCTTTCTCTGTTATGATCAAGTACAGACTGTCTTCAAATTATGACGGCAATTGAACCCACAATTTTGGTCTTAAATCCTGATAGTTTTTAGGCTGGCTCATCATGTGACTGTGCCCAATTTTGCAACCTTTTTTTGTGACAGTCATTAAGCAAATGTGGTGGTTATAAAGCAAACATTGTGGGCATATTGTTCTCAATGGGGCATTTTTTAAAAATCAGCAACTGGAGGAAAATACGTTTTTGGAAAAAACAACATTCATTGCAATCATATGACCATGGCTGTAAATGTGGGCTGGTTGCCGAGCACCCAAAATACAATCATGAGCCTACAGGGGGAAAGGGACATCAGAACTTTGAATCCGGGATTTAAGTCCCTTTTTCGGGCCCACCGTGATTTTGAACAATCACTAAGCCACCGGTCCTAAGTAAAGGGCTACCTGTACAGAAATATTATTATTATTTCCATGGGACCATGCAAATAACCAGCAAATGCTCCAACACTGGAAGTGCTTAAGAAGATATTGGTTAACCATTTGCCTGAAGTGGTGTAGGGTTTCCTGCCTAAGCAGGGGATTGGACTAGAAGACCTCCAAGGTCCCTTCCAACTCTGTTATTCTGTTAAACTCTTCATGACCTTGGTATTAAATAACAGCAATATTTGAATTGAAAACATTTACAAGTTCAAGCAAACTCATCAAATTTTCTCAACTTCAGTTTCCCCCCATTTATTGATAGCACTATTTCAATCCAGAAATGTGATTACAATAGTTCAATTCCCTTTCTCCATCTATTTCTTCCATGGCAGTTGTGTTATGTGCAGAACATTGGCCATGTCTGTGAAGCACAACTAACCATAATTTGGCCTAAACCATCAATAGATGATTTTGGTGACCAGTACCAGACAATTTATGAAATCAGTGACTGCCTTGGTTATATTGGGAATTGACAAGCCAGGCAGCATTTCTACAGTTTTGCAATGGCAGGCCGTCTGCCACTTCGAGAGCACTTTATTGGGAGAGGCAGTAACATTTTGATTATCTATATATTTTAAAAAGTGAGATGGTATGACTGAGAATGAAACCACTGCTAATGAAAGGAGGAGATGCTTCACATATGGACACAACTGCTGCCTAACTACATCAGCAAAACAAATAATCCAACCTGAAAACATAGTTTCACAACATCAGAAATTATCCTTTTGGGAAAGTGTACTCAGTGCTGAAAGATAGCAAAGTAACATAAAGATTGGGCTCTCATGATATATTTTTTTTCTTAAAGCGATATATTTTGGAGTTAAAGTGTAACATTAGATGGACACACTAAGACTCAGATATGATTTAAACCAAAGGAAAAAATATGTGTGCATATGATCAGATAGGAAAAGAAATGGAAGTAGTGTGGAAGATAGTTAAAGACAAGGAAAAGGATCCATCCACTAACTTACTGCTAGCAATAATATGCAAAAGCCAACTCTTAAAGATATAATGTATATAAAGGACAGTCTCAAAAGGCATGCATTCATTTACTAAAATTGCAGAACCTTATCAATATTGCCCTTACTAAAAATAAAGGTCTTCGGGCTTCTAATGGTTTCTGATATTTATTCACAGTACGGCAAAATTTAAGAACAATTCCTCTTTCAATCTATCTTGCATGCAAGATTCAGCGTAACAAAATTTAAACCCTTTATAAACTCAAGCTGTTTCTCTGAACACTCCCCTATTCTTCACACACAGACATGAATCAGGACATCAACCCATAAATAATTACAATGTATAAACTGGTAAAATCACTGTGAGTTATACAGTGCTTTTAGGCCAATGCATATTCTCCACTTGCTAGAGAGATTACCAGGGAGGGCAGACAATTTGTATGTAGTCTATCTCCTCCTGGACAGAAACCCAGCTACTACACTTCAGTAGAAAAATTCTGTGCTGCTGCAATGACCACAAGGAAAAATTCGGTTACAGGACTAAACATGTTTTCTTGTCCCAAGTTTTCATAGATATCTCAAACAATTTTTACACAATTTATATTTATATACATACTTATCCACTTATCCATCAAGTACACATGGGCACGATCTAAACTGTATGATACAATGTATGTTATTGTTATGGATGTTATTATTTACTATTGTTATTGGTAATTTTAATATTATTGTAAATAGATTATTGTCTTTTGCTGGTCTATGACCATAATAAACTTTATATTCTATTCTATTCACATACAGACATACATCAGGACATCAACCCATAAATAATTACAGTTTATAAACTGGTAAAATCACTCTTCTAAATTCGGAGTCATTTTTAAAATCTGGGTTTCAACCACCCAGGATTTAGATTTGAGTACAGGCCAGAATCCCGTGTCATTTCAGCGTTTTGGATTACAACTCCCAAACCGCTGACACAACGTTTTGGGGATGATGCTCTAAGAGGGATGATCCCCCTCTCCAACCACTTTTCCTCCTCTCCCCCAAAACAACCCTCCCCGACCCAGGTACCACAAGCCGTCCCAAAACTTAAGTCCCTTCTACCACTCTTAGCCACTCCCAGTTTTCCGACAGATCCTCCTTCACAACACGCGCGCACACACACACACACATTTATCACCTTTCCAACCTCGGCGGAACCGCGTTCAAGGAGCCAGACCCCCTCGCCCTTTGTCGCCCACCGGTCCCCTCGCCCAGGCCCAAACTCGCCCAGGAGCCCCCCGAGGCCTCTTGTCCCAAAAATGCCGCGAAGCTACCCGCGGAACAAACCTTCGGATCGGAACCAGCTCCTCCTTCTCCTCCCGCCTCACTCACCAGTATTTGAGAATCGCCGTGACCTGCAGGGGGTTGGGCTGCTCCGGGTACAGTCGCCGGCACTCGCCGTAGATCCCGTGTAGCCCCGGGGGGAAAAGCGAGGGAAACGGTCCCGCTCCGGGGCCAGGAGCAACGGGGGCGACGGTCTCCATGAGGGAACCCGTAAAGGGCGGAGGGAAGCAACGTAGCTCGGAGCGGGTGGCGGGGGGGACGGGGACGATCCCGACCCCCGCAGGCAAACCAAAGGTCGCTCCAAACTCCTTTCGCGACCCCGGCAGGGCCCAGCAGCAGCAGCAGCAGCAGCAGCAGCAGCAGGGGAAAAGCGTCCCCCCACTAACCCCGACTCCAGCCTTGATAGGCCACAGTCTTCGCCAATCACGCCGTAGTGAAAGAAGAGGCTGACATAATCCCACCTTCGCCTCCACCCGGTGTCCCACCCCCTTCTCCGCCGGCGCGTTTCTGACCTCTGGCGTCGCTTAGCTTGCATTGCTGACGCTTTCTTGCCCAGAGTGGGCAGAGGGAACGATGTCGCGCTGCAAGCCGTCGTTGAATTACTACCTTGCCCTGTGTCTGTGGGCATTCTCGGTCATCCAGGTCACGGTTGTCCCAAAGGTGCTTTTTTTCTAGAGGCTTCCCTCCCCCCCAGAAAGTCCAGCTTTCCTCTAGAAAAAAAGCACCTTTGGGACATAGTTTGCCATGTGTGTATCCGGGGGAGCTCTGCTTCCTTTATCAAATCCTACTTTAAAAAGATCGTAGCCTATGAATCCAGCCTAGGACGAATAGAGTTTTATCTCCTAGTGAATCGTCCACGATTGCAGTATACAGAAACAGTACAGTATAGAAAGAGTATATTGGAGGTGGTGACCCTTTGAGAACTGTATGCAACGAAATTTCATTTTAATGTATGCTGATTAGCGTACATTCAAAGTGGCAATAAAGTTATTAATCTAGTACGTTGAATGCTGTCCATATCTCCGATAGGGCGATTCTGGGGAACTTATTTTATTATTTATTTATTAATTTAATTTGCATAGAAGGTAAGAGGTAAAAGGATGAATAGAAAAGCAATTAAAATTTTAAATCTGTGCACATTAAAAATGTACAACTATGCAAAAACCAGAACCAAGGAGATGGATAGCACTGGGATGAGGCCTTTTTTCTGGGTCAACCATCTCCATCTATTCAAGTGGTGTGATTCATACATAATATAATAAAAGTAATTATATGTGTATTCCCACTATTGCACTTATATGGAATTATGAGGATTATAATCCTAACATATCTGGAGGGCAATTAGTTGGGAAATACATTTTAATACTACCAGTACCTTAGGCTGGGTTTATCTTAAAAATTGCTTGCAGTTGGGCAGTCCTAGTATTACCAATCAACATGTATTGTGCAATTTTCTGTCTGCACCTCTTTAATAGATGTGTATATATGTGAGATTTTTAAAAGGATGGTTCATCTTATGTTCTTGTCTCTACTCAGAGAATTCCGAATATATGGGGTACAGGTTTGAAGTCACAAAAGCTTAATGCTATATTAATGTTGAGTTTTCTGAAAATAATTTTCTTCATAAAAATACACATAATCTTTTAAACAAACTGTATGAAAAACATTAAAACATTTTAGCCTATCTAAATATAAACTTTTCACCATCTATCTCACTGTTTATCACATGAACTGCAAAGTCATTTATGAACAAGTTAAAGAGCACTGATATTAATACAAATACTTGGGAAATTCTTTTTTAATTTTATTTATTTGTATCACATCTTTATTATTTTTACAAATAACTTAAGGCAACAAACATATCCAGCACTCCTTCCTCCTCCTATTTTCGCCACCACAACCCTGTGAAGTGAGTTGGGCTGAGAAGTGTGACTGGTCACCTAGCTGGCTTTCATGGTTAAGGTGGGAGTAGAGTTTACAGTTTCCCGCTTTCTATTTCTGCTTTAACCACTAGTCCATACTGGCTAGCTGTATAGTTTCTATTTTACTAGTTAAAGGGTAGTAGAAAATCAGATAAAAAAAGGAATGGGAAACACATAAAATATAACAACATGTACTTCCTCAGATTCCATTTGCAATCCATAAAGCATTCTAAGATTTTGCCTTGAATTTCAGACACAACCACCCAACGTTCTAGAACCCAATGCTTGTATGAAAAGTATGTATTGTATTGTATGGAAGGCAAAATGTTCCTACTCCGAGTCTCAAAATCTTCTAGTACTTTCTAGTACTTCTAGTACTTTCATACCTACATAACAAGGGTTTTAGCCCTGCCTTCTTTGGCAAGTTATAACTAAGACCTCCTGAAATTGGGGGCTGAATTATGATATCCAACCTCAGCAAGGTTTCCTAACTAAATTATTCACCAATTCAAATTTCAGCAAATAACATCTTATTGTGTGTACCAGGTCAAATAAGAATAGAGCCAATTTGGTGTAATGGTTAAGGTACCAAACTAAAAAGTGGAGGACCGTAAATTTTAATTCCACCTATATCATGAAAACTAGCTGGGTGACCTTGGGCCAGTCATTCTCTCTCAGCCCAACTCACTTTACAGGTTTGTTGTTGTAGGGAAAGTAGGAGGAGTAAGATCTGTTGGATATGTTCACCTCCTTGGGTTATTTTTAAAAATAATAAAGGTGGGATACAAATAAAAAAATATAGTCTATTCACTGATAAACAGTTCAAGTGTGTGCATTTCAGTTAATGTTATGAATGAATGTGGCAACTAAGAGGGGCTCTAGATGTTACATTTGTTCACATCACTGCAGTGGACCATATAAAGGTTTCCATACAATGGAAGTATAATTCCTTCTGTGGACTGAAAAAAAATTGAATGCATTATATCCAAAAGATATTAGTAGGTACATCCTCTGAACTTCTGTCCTGATAAAACGTAATTTTTTCTCTCCCCCTCAATGTATTACAACATCTCCTTTACTTACCATAATAAAAAGGGAAAGGAAACAGGAATCCCAATAAAAGGATAATAGTTGTATTTGCTGTGGAATTTATATTAACTGGGCTACTAAACACTTTAAAAAATGCAACATGTGTTAGGCATATCATAACTAGTCTCCAAATCTTTCATGTAGTCAATAGATGGCTGCAAAATGACTAGACTTTTCTGTATTTCTTTATGACTAAATATTGGAACCCTAACATATTGTATACAGTATATCTTCACCAACACATACAACATTCAATATGTGTGTGAAAGAGGTTTTTTAAAACTGTACGGAGAATGCTGATATCAAAACATCTTACATTTCTTCCTTGCTTATAAATACCTTTTATTTCTCTCCAGGACAAAAATAGTTTTGCAAATCAGTACTCCACGGTAACTTACTAGAACAAATAAATAGACTCATTCATTCATTCACCCACTCATGAAAACAAAAAAAAAAGGCCTCTTTTCTGGGGTAAGCTCCAGTTACAATGGTTATTTCCATAGAAACTCGCTTTCCCGACAAGCTTTGCCTTTGCTCTGAGCATGCGCTCTACCGCCTGAGCTGTCGCTTGCTTGGCAGTAACCGAGGTGGGTGTCGCCGGCGGCGCATAGGCGCTCGCCATGGAGTCCTACGATGTGATCGCGAATCAGCCGGTGGTGATTGATAACGTGAGTCCGAGCGCAATTTTGTCTCTGCAATGTGAGAAGGTGGGGGAGGGGGAGGGGAGGCGTCGCGATTGGCACGGTGGGTTTTTTGCTCCTCATAGAAACCAGTCAACGGATCTGTCAGCCGGTGGTTTTCTGCTCCATCCTCCCCGCCCCCGCCCGCGCAGTCTCCGGGCAATCCTCTGCCCCTCGCCATCTCCAACCGAAGTTGGGTTCTTTCCTCCTCTCCTCCTCCTCCTCCTCTATGATCCAGGCCCACGTTCCCGTTGGCCGATGCATTTGCCATTCAATGGTAGAACGGCGCAGCCTGCAGAACAACGGAGCAGGTAAATCCACGCCCTGTTGAGCTCCTCGCCCTCTGATTGGTCACGCTCTGACGATTCTCGACCCAGCGTCATCGGTTCGCGTTTCGCGAGGGAGTTCGCCCCTCCCCCTTCATAGTTTCATGCGCGATTATTGGCGCGTTGGCTCTGCTATTCGTTCTTTTATGACCTTTAAGGGCTCCGTTTTGTTCTCAACCGCTCCTTCGGTCAAAGCGCGCGAGAGAGAATGGCCTGGGTTAGGTAGCTGGGAAAATTGCCTCGCTCTCCTCCATTTTCCCTGGGTGTATTTTTGCTACTGTGTATAAATTGCCCGCGCTGCTCTTTCTGTAAAACAGGGAGTGCAGTGAAGAAACGTTTTTTTTTAGATTCATCCAGCCCAGGCTTCTTTCTACCGTTTTTCAGATTTCTCTCTGACAATGCCGCCGTTAAGAATCAGCTCATCAGTTAATATGATTGTTAAATGTTGCATTTTTTTTCGAACATGCAGAAACCTGAGAAATGAAGGGTCATTAAAGGAGAATATTTATTTGTAGCTTGTCTAGGCTACCACTGATTACGTTACTTAGTTTGGGTAATGAAACGTCTGGAAGGAAACAACCAAGCTCAGAGAGCACCAAGGACCTTTCAAATGAAGGGTTGGTTCAGTAAATACCAGCAGACAAGTGCTGTGCTTGTGGAGGATCCAAAGCATTTCTCCTGAATATTTTTTTTTAATGGACACTGCTGTGATGCATACATCTTTGAAGATAGGATTTAGTAATCGGTAATTAGTATTCGTCACAGGAAATCCTCAATTAGATTTCCATGTTATGTTCAATAATTTCTGGATTTTGGGGTCATAAAATCACTGCCCAGCAACCTTCTTGGTTTTCTGGTACAATTCAGAATAGTGATTTTGTACCTATAAAAAAATTGTATACCTCAAAACTGTAGAAATGGTGGTAGACTTTAGGAGAAACCCTCCCATACTACCACCTCTTACAGTCGGGTGAAATCCAGCAGGTTCTGGAGAACTGGTAGCGGAAATTTTGAGCCATTTGGAGAACTGGTAGCGGAAATTTTGAGTAGTTTGGAGAACCCGCAAATGCCATCTCTGGCTGGCCCCAGAGTGGGGTGGGAATGGAGATTTTGCAATATCCTTCTGGGGGGGGAATGGGGATTTTGCAGTATTCTTCCCCTGGAGTGGGGTGGGAATCGAGATTTTGCAGTATCCTTCCCCTGCCATGCCCACCAAGCCACGCCCACAGAATCGGTAGTAAAAAAAATTTGGATTTCACCACTGCTTACAATACTAGACAACACAGTATCAACAGTAGAGGCCTTCAAATTTCTAGGTTCTATCATA